ACAAAATCGAACAAACAGGCGCTACATGTTTTGAAAAACTAGTGACATGAAATCATAATATCATTTTTGACTAACCTTTGTGATGATTCATAGCGTTGAGATTGCATTGTTATTTATGTCTTTCAAACGTTTGAGGCTAGAACGCTAGCAAATCAGGCAGATATTACTGGACTTGGAACGATTGACCTCTGACACGAGTTTCAAATTAGAAAATAAGTTTTTAAAGCGAGCGGAACGAGATTTTCGGGTCGCGAGGCGGCCTAGTTAGCGATAAAATCGCGATGAGTCTTCGAACCGCGAACCAAATTTTTATATAAGACGAAAGACTTCTTCGAAAGTCTAAAATATTACTTGAGAATATAAACAACAATTCTCTGTCAGCGGTGCGGTCCGGAAGGAAATCTTGTCGAGTCAATTTGACAGTTCTATTGTCTTTTGAAGAAAAAACAGATGGCGCTCGCGCGTGCGCATAATCGGGACACTGTCCCTTTAAGTACGAGTTGTGAGTACGAGTTCGAGTTGTTAAGTACGAGTTTGAGTTGTTAAGTACGAGTTCGAGTTGTTGAGTACGAGTTCGAGTTGTTAAGTACGAGTTCGAGTTGTTAAGTACGAGTTCGAGTTGTTAAGTACGAGTTCGAGTTGCTGAGTACGAGTTCGAGTTGAATGAGCGGTATTAAAGCGAAATTATCGCGGGAGCAAAATCTGTCGAGTTCTGCACCTTCTCACATTGAAACGTCTGCAAAACATCCTTTTTTACTCCGATACTTTTGAGAAACGCTGCGACCTTTTCCACCTAAAGATATCGGCCATGAGGTGATTAAAGCGGTATATTGCAATAGTTTACAATGTTTATGAACGTAAGATTACATCTTGAGGAGTAAATGGCTCTTAAAAATTACCTCTTCTTTACCGTTGTTGATCTCCGTTTCCGCCATTTTGGATTCAGATTTTGCTCCCGCGATACTTTCGCTTTGATACCGCTGATTCAACTCGAACTCGAACTAAGCAACTCGAAATCGTACTCAGCAAGTTACTCGAACTCGTACTTAACAACTCGAACTCGTACTTAACAACTCGAACTCGTACTCAACAACTCGAACTCGTACTTAACAAGTCGAACTCGTACTCACAACTCGTACTTAACAACTCGAACTCGTACTTAACAACTCGAACTCGTACTCACAACTCGTACTCAACAACTCGAACTCGTACTTAACAAGTCGAACTCGTACTCACAACTCGAACTCGTACTCACAACTCGTACTTAACAACTCGAACTCGTACTCAACAACTCGAACTCGAACTCGCACTCAACAACTTGAACTCGAGCTCAAAAAATTTATGGATGTCCCTTCAAAGCTTCCGTAGAAACGCTCTTTTTACATGTTTGCGTGTGAAAGATGCGCCCGCAAAATTTACACGTGTTACATAGAGGACACTAAAATGGTTCATACACAACATTGAAGTCACCTAAATCCAAGATGGCGTCTGGTAATACATGCTGCTCTTAGGAAACAGACTTAACGAGGAAATTTGCTCCAGGTTTATCTTTACAAATCTTCAGCTTTCAGTGGAATTCTAGGCACTCTAGATAAGGTGTGATGAAGCATTGTGTTGTAACCGTTTCGCAAAGTACCGTTTCGTTTCGTTTCGTTTCGCAAAGTACTATAAGCCACGCAATCACAATTCTAGCTTGAAACTCTACCGGTTTCCTGTATTTGCCCGTTTCGTCGAAGATAAGTGAACTTGAAAAATCTTTGCAAACATGCTGCATCGAAACTTTTCGATGAAATTTACATTTTAAGCGAAAACGTGTCTTGCTTCGCGGATAACATTCTTGGTTACAAAAATTATTGGGATACATTATTTAATTACTTATAATTAGATATTTTAGTATGTAACTAGAGGTGGCATAATTTTAGGAATCTTATACCCAGTTTAAAACCTATCTCAGATTTATTGTTGTATTCTGATGCTCGATTGATTGATTAAACATTTTTTTCTACAAAAATAGATGAATCGCGATAAATAAATAAATAAAAACTACATACGATTTTGAGACGGATAATTACGACTTTATTATGACACCATTGTAGAGAAAGTTTTCCCGTATATGGACTCTCTTCTTCGCATCGTTAAGAAGTCTTAATGTTGTCTCAAAATCTGTCAAATTAGTTTGTGTTATCGGATTTGCTTGGAAGATCTAAACTAATTAAACTGCGTGCTAATGCATAGGCAATGAATCCACGTGTGTACTTGAATGGGAACTGATTGTGAATCGTTCCAGAAGAGCAGTTGACCAAGTAGATGTTGGAAGGATGACCGTGTGCCCAAAGCATCGCTTTCAACTTACTACGCTTTATAAAGCAAAGGTAATGGATAGATATTTTTTTAAGGATTGATTGTTGCGCGAGTCTTATCTGGCATTACAACATACCACAGGATACCCACCTTTTTAGCAGGCTCTTTGAAGGTTCAGTTCATAGAAAAACAGCTTACAACCCCGGGTTACAACTCTGTTATTTTCCGAGCAGAGGTGACTGTTCTTTATCGCGCAAATTACGTGTGGCTGTTGTTGATCTTGCTTAGTTGTAGGCTCGTAATGAAACATCTCTTCCCTAGTGATGCTAATGCATTACTCACCTGACAGTTTCTTTACTCAAGCTTTTCCCTAGAGAGTAGATTTCTGGTTTTCTACGTGTGTGTGTGTATGTGTGTATGTGTGTATGTGGAGGGGGGGGGGGGAGGGGGGGGGGGGGGGCCACTTCCTGGGCACCCGTTTCACCCCCCAATCCTGAAATTCCTACCGTTAGCCAGGTATGTTTCCAACTTCCGCATTTTGCTTTTGGGTAAATTTTTTTCTTTCTTTCCCTGAAGAAAAAACGCCATTACGGGTTATGGGGGGGGGGGGGGGGGGGGGGGGGGTAGAGGGTGGAGGGGGACACATCCTAGGCAACTCGTTGCACCTCCCAATCCTGAATTACTTACGTTAGACACGGTATGTTGCTAACTTCCGCATTTTGCTGTAGGATAAATGTTGTCATTCCTTGCCATGAAGAAAAAGCGCCATCACGTGTAAAAAAAGTGTCTAAAGCATTCACCCGCAAAAGGCGTGTGAGCAAATTCATGGCGAACGGAATCTACACAAACACTGGCGTTATCGTTGCTATAGGCTGTATCTATGTTTTCTTATTTCTGCCCATGATACCTAGGGCTAGCCCTGTTCTTCCAATCAGATTCTCTCACTTTCCCCTTTTTGAAAAAGAAAACTCTACCTGATAAAGGAGATCATCCTAATGACATACCATTAACTAACTTTTATTGCCATTCTTATGGGACTAGCAATCAAAACGTAAAGCCAGGCGGATGTACCTTGCATTCGCTACCCCAATTAACGCACCTGCTAAAACTCTATTTTTTGTGAAACAATTAACTCTTTCACCGAGAAAGTAAAGTTGCTTTTTTGTATTGCTTTCAAGCTCGAAAAGCAATCGTGATTTGCAAGCGCCCTAGAAGGTTTTCTGTAACACGAACTGAAGGACCATTTGCTTCATCATCATCATCAATCTTTATTTATACACGAAATCGTATCATCTTGAACGTGTATCATTTGCTTCATCGCGCGTGTTCTGATCAACCTTTCCCTTGTACCATTTCAGCCATTTGCAGCTCATGCCGAACTCTAATTGTGGATGCTCCTGCCACCCGAGCTATTGAGAGACATGAAGATCAAGTGACGAAACTAGCTTCATTCGTTTAAACACCAAAGTCTTTACCCAGGCAATTACGTCCACCACGTATTTCGGCACACTATCGTCTATCCTTTGGATCAGCTTTCTCTGTCCAAGTAAGCTTATACTTACCAGAGCGCGAACGAGAGAGAAGAAACCTTGAGACACTAAACCAATGCAATGGCTGTCATATCTGATGGTAACTGCACCCCATTATCCCACTATGTTAACTGCAAGTTGGAAACACTGTCTGGGGCGTCGAAGGAAGAATTCATAATGAGAGCCGACGAAGTGGTTTCTTACGTACTAAACACCATTGCTCCTTCACAGCGGGAGCAACTTTGGGAAGTATTGGTCAAACGTTATGGTTCTGTTGAGGAAAAAATTAACAACATCACAGTCGATGTGGGACTCGAAGCAATTTTGCTGGCTGTCAATGAATGTTCAAATCGGTTAACAGAAACTCAGATATTATCACTCATAAATGACAGGTTCTCTCCCAGGAATCTCATTACGCCAAGTCAAAAAAGATCGAAAGCACGCGTTACAACGTGGACGCTGAGAACCATTAACAAGGAATGAGATTTCCCGATGCAGGTTGAATATTGAGAAAGTTAGGGATTTTATGGAGTTCTTTTGCAGATCCACATTCCTCCGAGACGTAGCCTTTGAAAAAAAAACATTGAAACTTTCTTCAGGTGAGAGAATCCCCACCCCTTCAGTTGTTCGTACAATGACTGCGTCGAAAATCATCTACCTTTACCATGAAGAGTGTCGTGAATATGGTGTGGAGCTGCTAAAGGAGCGTACCTGTTTCCGTCTGCTAAAGGTTTGTAGTGCGTCGAAGCAAAAGTCCTTGCAGGGGTTGGACAATACGTCAACGGCTGTTGAAGAAGCATTCAAGAGGATAGCTTAAATCGTTGAGAATCTAGGTCGATACGGTGCGGGTGCAACGTGAACCCGAGACACCCTTCGATCTTTAAGTACTGGAAAGAATTATCTCAAAAGCGTATACAAGAGTCATGTAGGACCGGAACAGCTTTGTGCTGATCACTGTACTGTGTTTGCACTTTCGGATCCAATCGAAGAGAAATTTTCAGGTGAATGTTGTTGGAGAAATAATAATCATGTAATGTGATTCGTTGATTAAGGTCATATGATTCTCTCTAGGGGATAAATCATTTAAATCACGCAAATGTGAAAGAGAGGATTGCCCAGTGTGTGGGGAAGATGGAAAAGGACTATGTGACAGACCGAGCGTGACTTATGACATAAAATGTGCTGAGTGTAATGACATTTATATCGGAGAAACATTAAGGAGCGCGTGTACTAGAGGAAAAGAACACATGAAGTCACTGGCCAAAAAGGAAGAGAGGTCAGCCTTATGGACGCACTGTAAAGAGAAACACAACAGTGAAATGCAGAAATTTGAAATGAACGTTACCGGTTCGTACTCCAACGACGCCATGTTGAGGCAGATATCGGAGGTTATTCGAATAGATCAAGTACCGGAAGACTAGTTGATGAACTCTAAGAACGAATAAAATTATTTCCTCGTTCCACGCGCGGTAGTCGCACGTGACCACGTAAAATAGAATACACCATGTTGGCTTACATGACACTGGCAAACACGCAGACGATTTTAGTGCATCTTACATGAAAATTTTATTGACTGGCAAGGCTCGAAGAGCGAAATATATTTCGAGGATTTTAAAACTTCTAGAACATTTTTATTTTTACATTTTACATTTCGTATACGTTCGTCGAATGTGGTAAAGACGTGATGTCTTATTTTGCAAGTAGTTCAAGTGTTGACAAGAGTTTGCAAGTTCATATTTCCTCGACGACCGATCCTCGTGAAGCGTGGGAAATTTTACGGAAACAGTTTGAATGTGTTTCGATTGCTCAAATTGTGCGACTTAACCGCAGGTTCTATGCCGCTACAATGAAAGAAGGAACTGATCTCATGGAGCATTTGACGTACATGACTTCGTTGGCCGAGCAGTTGCGTGAATTAAAGGAAAAAATCACTCCGCAAAGGTTTGCAACCGTAATTCTTGGAAGCCTTCCAGAGTAGTATGATAACTTCATCAGTAGTCTAAACGCTTCCAAAATGGATGAATTGAATTGGGACAACGTCAAAGGTTTATTGATCGAAGAATACAAGAAACGAGAAGAAAAAGAAGACGATAACAGCACTTGTCGAAATGAGGCATTGCTTTCTGACAAAGGCAATTTTGCATCTTCCAGAGGGAGAAACTCGAGACGTGGTGGACGAAATTTTGGAAATACAGAAAGTTTCAGGCAACGTGACCAAATGTAGGTTTGAAGGGCTTCAAATGTCAACAAATCGGTCATTTTATTAAGAACTGCCCACTCAATCGAACACAAGGTCACTCGAGCATTGCAGAACATGATTGCAAGCAGCAAGATGACAGTATAGCCTTGAATTCCAGCACGACTTGTCGGAATAGAGATTTTCGTTGGTACATGGACAGTGGTGCTACAAAGCATATGACCTTTGAGAAAGATTTAATTGTTGATTTCTAAGAGTATGAGTAGCCCTCAAAGATCTACCTTGGTGACAACAGAGCAATTGAAGCTTTTGGAGAAGGAAAGGTGAACCTTTCGTCCTATGATGAATCAAATGCAGTAGAATTAACTTTAAACAAAGTACTGTATGTGCTCAATTTATCAAAGAACTTGTTGTCTGTTCCTGCTATGACGGAAATGGGAGCAGAAGTTTTATTTGATTAAGGAAAGTGTATCATTTCCAAGAATGAAAGAAAAGGCACCATTGGACATTTGGTGGACAATAACTCTACATGGTAAACACAGATGGAGAGGCTCACATCGCCAGTGCAACATCACAATCGTTGGAGCAATGGCATCGTCGATTTGGTCATTTGAATCACTCCTATATTGATCGCTTGATAAAAGGCAAGCTTGTTGAAGGCATGAGCTTTTCAAGTGGCGAAGTGAACAGAGAGTGTGAAGCATGTGCACAAGGGAACATGCACAGAATCCCTTTTCGCAAGAAAAGTGAAAAGGAAACACATCAGCCCCTCCAACTTGTACACAGGGACTTCTGTGGCCCAATGAATGTTGATTCTGTTGGTGGAAGCAAGTATGTCCTTACGTTTACTGATGATTACACTAGATATGTCACAGTGTATTTCATCAGGAGCAAGTCTGAAGTGTTATCAATGTTCGTGGAATATGTGACAATGATGGGAAATGAAACTGATTTGCGAGTACGAGCCATTAGAACTGACAATGGTGGAGAGTATACATCCCAGTACTTTAAAACGTTCTGTGCTGACAAGGGGATTGCACATCAGCTCACCAACCCAAACACACCAGAGCAGAATGGCGTTTCAGAAAGACTGAATCGCACACTAATTGAATCTGCAAGATCCATGCTCATTCATGCAAAGATGCGATTGAAGTTTTGGGCAGAAGCTGTGAACACTGCTGTATATCTACACAGCCGGAGTCCTACAAGTGCAGTAAAGGACAAAACACCATTTGAAAGTTGGTTTCGGAAGAAACCAAATATGTCAAATTTGAAAGTTTCTGGAAGTGTCTGTTTTGTCCACACCCCAGTTCACTTACGAAAGAAGCTTGATCCAAAAAGCCGCAAAGCAATATTTGTCGGATATCCATGGAAAGTAAAGGCTACAAAGTGTATGAAGTGGATGCTAAACGTTTCACAAGATGCAGAGACGTTGTTTTTCATGAGAACAAGTTTCATACATTTGACGAAGTTTCCAACAGCACATTCTTCTACATTCTTCTGCTATGTGGATGACGAGACGGAACCCAATGATGTCAGAGATGAGCTAGAAATTCCCACTGTTCCCACCATTCCGATCACTACCACAGAGTCTCCAGGGAATTTACCTTCAGTGGGAGCAATCTATGAAGATACTTTTATGCAACAAGTGAGAAGCCTTGGACCAACCAGACAGAGAAAAGCACCAGACAGATTTCATCCAGAAGAATGTTTCATGTCAGAATCTTTAACTGCTGAGAATGAAGAACCACAATCTTTGAAAGAAGCCTTGGGTGGCAACAACTGAAAGGAGTGGAAAGTCTTAGACGCTGAATACAGCTCACTAATCAGTAATGAAACATGGGAATTAGTACCACCACCAAAGGATGCTAACATAGTTGGATCGAAAAGTTTTTTCTCCTGTTGCCAGATACTCAAGTATCAGAACACTGCTAGCCTTGGCAAATGCATATGATTTAGAAGTTCATCAAATGGATGTCAATACAGCTTTCCTGAATGGACAGTCGACCATGACATTTACATGTCTCCGCCTAAAGGATTTATTGATCCAGATCATCCTGACTATGTGTCCAAGCTAAAGAAGAGCCTGTATGGCCTCAAGCAGTCAGCTAGATGTTGGAATCAAACACTCCACAATTTATTGGTAACGAATGGCTATCGGAGAAGCCCCACAGATGAGTGCATTTATGTGAAAACAGTCAAGAGAGATGATGGATTCATCAGTTTTGTCATCTTAGCAGTCTATGTCGATGACATCATTCCTGTATCCAATGATGTTAAAATGCTCAAACCAGAGAATTTGAAATGGTTCGTCTGGGAGAAATTCACTTCATCCTTGGAATGTCAATCAAGAGAGACCGAGCTACTAGGACACTGACCATTAGTCAAAGGCAGTACGTTAAAGATTTGCTTCAACGATTTGGAATGGGAGAGTGCAAGCCTATGTCAACTCCGCTAGAGTCAGGATAGAAGTTCCATAAGTGAACAAAAGAAAAAGAAAGATGTTACAAAAGCGTATATCTACAAGCTGTGGGGTGCCTTACCTATGTATCAACTGCTGCGAGACCAGACATTGCTGCGGCTGTTGTAACTTTATCACAATTTATGTCTGATCCAAGTAAGGAGCATTGGATGGGAGTGAAACGAATGCTCAGATACATCAAAGGAATACTAGGTTATGGTCTAAAATTTTCAGAGAATCTTGATGAGTGTAATTTGTATGGTTTTTCGGATGCTGATTGGGCAGGGGATGCAGACAATCGGCAGTCTACTTCCGGGTATGTTTTCAAAGTTGCTAATTCCACAGTCAGTTGGTGCAGCAAGAATCACGCTACAGTCACTAAATCCACTACAGAGGCAGAATATGTTTTAAGTCAAGCAACACAGGAAGCAATCTACTTACGAAAGCTATTGGCTGATCTTTGTTGTAAAGCTGACTCACCCACAGTGAAGACAATCAAGGTGCCATAGAGTTATTAAGGAACCCAAGATTCCATAACAGAGCAAAGCACATTGATGTCGCATTTCACTTTATTCGCGAAAGAATAGCCTCAAATGAAGGTAAAGTTGCTTATCGTCCTTCAAATGATATGTTAGTAGACATCATGACAAAAGGACTTGCTAGAGATCGGTTTCAAAAAATCAGAAACTTGTTGAACATTTATGCCTGCTAGAATACTGATTGTTATGTTTTGCTATTAATCTTAGAGGATACACGTAACATGCTTATCAAGTGGGAGTGTTGGAGAATTAATAATCATGTGACGTGTTCGTTGATTAAGATCATATGACACTCTCTAGGGGATTACACATGCTCCTCGATTACATAATCTTATGATTTATTCTCTCGCCTTGTAGCTTATGTTATTCAGTTCTAGCTGTAACCTTCTTTCGGTTCGGATTAAAGATGGATTCTTAATAAATGTTACCACGATCACAACCAGGCATGTCCCGAATGCAAGGGTATTGTTGATGTTCCCGTGAAGCTATCGAAGACATTGTCAGAAATGGAGATCTGGACTTCAGTGAAAAGCAAAAGAAGAGAGCAAGGTGGGACTTAGATCACGCTGTTTCCAGCATCGATGCTTGGAAAGCTCATGTATTGAGGACTTTTCAACAAGATCAAGCAAGACAAGATACACTCGATGGGTTAGATGACCAGGCCATTATGGTCATGAACGACTGGGCCATGAAATTACTTCCAATGCCTTTCAGAGAAACACAGACCCAATAGTTCGACAAGCGCGGAATTAGCTGGCACTTTTCTGCTGTTGTTCACAAATCAAACCATACTGACTGTCTGGTACTATCCATAAGTGAACACACAATCCACACTTATGTGATTGCCATTGACAGCTGCAAACAGGACTGGTTTTCCGTTTCTTGTATACTTGAAGAGGTCCTTGTCTGTTTCAAAGAATCGCATCAATCAGTATGCAGAGCGATCCTAAGAAGTGATAATGCTGGATGCTACCACTTTAGTGCGCTTTTGTCAACCATCAATTCCACTAGCAGAGGGTCAGGCGTCGAAGTAATTCGCTATGATTTGTCTGACCCTCAGTCGGGTAAGGACTTATGCGACAGAACGATCGCTCCTTGCAAACAGCCCCTTCGACATTATGTTGCTGAAAATCACAACGTGGAAAGTGTAAAAGACATAAAGAAAGGCTTAGAGTTCCCACCAGGAATTGCAGGAATGAGCGTTGCGGCACGCAAGATTGACCAATCAGCGATGTTAGCAGGCGCTGCTAATAACAAGATTCCGGAAATAACGAAATACAATAATTTCTCTCTGACTTCTAAAAGCATGCGCGTCTGGTAAGCTTACAATGTTGGAGAGGGCATGGATATAGAGGGGTCTTGGAATGAACAAGATGTCTCTGGGCTCGAAAGGATTGGAGAGTGGACGAAAAAGATACCGTGTGTTACACAAAAGAAATACTAGGCATAGGGAAAACACGATGATACTTAGTCTGTCAATACTTTCAGCTGCATTGAACCTGCATGTACTGCCACCTTCAAGACAATCGAAGAGGCGGATGAGCACATGGACACAGGCCATCATATTATGACTTCAGAGAAGGAGACCATATACGACAACGTACGTAGGCAGCGGGCAGCTGTAACGACGTCCGTTAAAGGTGCTGGCCGGAAAAGTGGCAGGACAGATTATGTTCCTGTGGCGAACTTACGACTGAGTAAAGGATGGGCCTTAAAGAAGCAGAAAGCTGCGGCGAGAATATTTTCTGGTGTCACAGAATTTTTGGCAAATTTATTCAACATGGGAGCTAAGGATCTTAACCAAAAGTTATGCCAAGACGTGCTGGAGCAAATAAAGAAAACGTTCCAAGTTTCAGAGTAGGTTGAGGTACAGACTGTCAAAGGATACTTTTCTTGGCTGGCGTCGCAGCAGAAGGGACTTCCAGTTAGCAAAGAAGAGGGTGAAGACGAAGCGCTGGAGAAAGAGGCTTACGTGGAGCAACTAGTCGGAGTGGCTGAACAAGAGATTGGCCTCAAACACCCTCTTGTACATGAAGATTTCAATTCTTGTGATGTCTCTGCCAAGGGTAGATTAGCCAAGGTCCTGGAAAAGCAAAAACTCAGTCAGCTACAGTCATTCTGCGAGTAGTTTGACGTGGAATTTCTGGTCGTGCTAATCGTAAAGCATCGTATTACGAACCTCTTATACAATTAGCAAATTCCTGTGATTGCCGCAAGTAAATCATTTTTTCAGATTCTTCGACTTAAAACCCGGCTTACTTAAAAATCAGTGAGCCAGTTAAGGTTGCGCGACTCGTCCACTTGGTCCAGTGATCGCACTCTCGCGTCCAAGATGATACAATACCAATCACATCTCGAGGCGTGTCATGACTTTGTATGAGGTGTTTCATGTGAACATCAACACGAAAAAAGCTTTTTATCCAGTTCTCCTAACTGTGGATCCCTTCTATGCTTTCACTTACTGAGCGCTAAAGTATTTGGGAAATCTGATGGATCGCAGGTCACCTAGACGATGATCACTTCAGCACGTATGTACACTGTATCTACGCTTGGTCGTGATTCATTACTGATTCAAGACCTGTTTAGGCTATTAACACGTCAGACAAAGATTATCTGTTAACGGTCGTTTTTGCTAAGCTTACTTTATCTGTTAAAAAATGGCTTGGAAAATGGGGACTTTCCATGCTTGCGGTAATACATGGAAGTATGACCTGAAAAATATAAATCAGAGAAAAACTCAAATATTGTTATATGAAGGTAAGAACATTGTTATTTATGCTCTATGATGGGTAAAGTAAACTCTCTCGTAAGCGACCACCCTTGATGCAGGACAAATTGGTCGCTTACGCTGAGAGGTGGTCATCTACGGCCAAAAAAAATTAAAAAATAAGCTTAAACCGAAGTGATTAACGTGATTACATAAAGTTATTACCTAACAACGTGGACAAACAGACAACTGCCAATAATGTTTCAAATTGAATAGCGCTTACAACTGTTGAAAATTTGTACATAACATCTTACATCAATGTTGCAATCCATTTTTACATACTGATCGTATTTATTTAACCTTTTTTGGTAGTCAACTGCTATAATCTGTGAGCACGCTTGATCAGCGCTTTTTAAAACTGAACTTTTGTGATATTTGAGCAATGGTTTTCTTCCAGTCATACATGATCATGCCGGGTTGTCGCTTACGATGACAGAGTTGACTGTACTAGGTTTTCAAAGAAATAATTCACCCTTGTTTTGCCCAATCAAGGGCCTTTTAAGAGCAATTGTACGGTAAGAGTCAGGGATTTTTCAAAGCAATGAAACTGATTTGGCTTTAACAATTCATTTTCACTTACCAAATATAGAACAAGGGCTTCATGCCAACAACTTGTTTTGTTTATGGCATGAATTATGCTCAAAATTCCATTTTGCATGGCCTTAGAGGGGCATTGAGTGTTTGTGGCAAAAATTCAACAAACCTTGATAAGCCACATTTTTCTCAACTGATTTTGATAATTGGGTCACTAAAATAAATATTGCTATAGGTACCGAAGTTATGCAAGAAGGCAGGTAGATACACTGATTTTATGAAACATAGGCACGTTTTACGTGCATGAGCTATTTTGAATGCTTCAGTGTAACAGTATCGGCAATCTACTGTCTTAATCCTAAATTAAGGCTATGTTTTGTGCGAAATTGGGTATTGCTGTACATTAATGAAAACGGGAACCGCAGCGCATGGCTGATTCGATCTGATAAATTCACTTTTCTTTGTCTTTTCTTCAGACATCTGGTGTAAAATAAACAAATTGTTCAAGTACTATGAGTATCAACTCACCAAACGTTGCTTAGAGGGAAGACTCGAAGGTTTCAAGGTTTCTTCATGGTTTCTTAAAATAATGAAGGTCGCCGAATACCGACTAGCTAAGATTTTTCATCATTGTTGTAGATGGTTGCATCATCATTTTTCACGAAGTTATCACGTGCGATTCTACTTAAATGAAACAGTTTTTAACTCTGACCATTTAATTCTAAGAGTGTTATGAGATTTTGCTTCGTAAAAGAAAAGAGCCTTTGCTTAGGCACTAGTTACAAAACTAAAGATGTCTTCATACGTTCAAGGTACTATTATGACTGTGAAGGGCCAGCATGAGATGTAGAATCACACAGTTTGGTGGTAAAAGTGTCGGACTTTGCCCCTTTCGTGGTTCGAGCGTGAGGGAGTTCGAGTTATCACACAGTTATCCAGTAAACAGAATTATGAAAATAACTCATGCAGACAATTTGCACATGAAGATGTTGGACTTTAGCCCTTTTACAATTCGTACGGGAAAAAACGCAGATTGTTTACTAGAAAATTTTCTCAAACGATTTTAAGAAATCACCTGGGTTTTACAACATCTGCAATCAAATTATGCTTCATGCAACGTCAAGATTGACAGCCTAACATTTATTAACTCCCAAGAAAATTATCAATTGAAACTGCCGAAATATATTTCTACTCATATCATGTTATTCCACTTAATAAAACAATATCTAATTAGTGTCAACTACGTTCTTCCAATTTTATTCCCTAACGCGACTGTTTCTACTTAAAGCCTTGTTTCCATATGATCGCTGAGATCGCTGGAAAGTCGTTTCCTTATGATAGCTGCGATCGCTGAACGTTTTTTCTCAGCGATCTTTTATACTCTAGCTTGAAGCAGGTGAAACAGAACTCATAAATACGTGCGTTGTACCGTTCGCGATAGCCGAACTCGGTCAGAAATGTCTTGAAGCAGCATCCACACTAAAATACGAACCTTTAAACAGCTGCATCATTGTACACAGCGTTTGAATCATGAAGAGATTTTATGTAATGCTTCTAAACACCTGTAGCCGTAATAAAAAACGAAAAAATTGTGAAGAATCAAGATGGCGGTGTCAAAGTGCCCTTGTTCGACCTTTAACAATGCCATGTTTAATAGATGCCAAGATCTCATTGGTTCCTAAGCATCAACTCATAGTACCTTCAACCTTATTGGCTCTTGCGACAAACATCCAAAGATACAAAGCCGCAAAGATACATACGCTCACACCAATGACAAATGAGCTGTTTTTTCAAAAATGGCAATTTTGAGTTGTAATTGGCCAAACTCTAACCCCAGGCTCCTCTCTGTCCAATATCTTGAGGACAAAGTTACATGCATGAAATGAAAGCTCTATTACAGTACAGTCCATGGTCAAATTCATTTGGCAGCACAATTTATCAATGGGTTTTATGGCACTTTCAAAATGTCCCCTGGAAGGCTAGATTTTTGGTGCTTAAAGGGCAAAACATGACACCCCCCCCCCCCCGAAACTCCAAAACTGAAAGTCAGAGAAGTCAGCCAAATTGGCTTTTGAAATACCTCATTGGACCCAACTCCTGTGCCAAGTTTCAGCCAAATCGGTTGACAACAACTTTTGGCCCCTGGAACACTTTCTCAGACAATGACACTTAAAGGAGAAGCAAATGCTCACAAGGATTAAAGAAAAAAACAAAATGATTGGAATTGTGCAAATTCTCAAAAAGGGAACGTCAAACTCGGCAAGTACCTGCTGTAACTTTGGCAGGTGTGTTATCTTGGTTTGCAGACGAGTTCAACAAGATACCGTGTAGTGCTTTGTAATGGGTACACAGACTAGATTACAATCGGACATGGTTGGTAGTAGCCTCCAAAAGCAGTCATGTTGTAAAAAAGGTATTGTGTACATACACAATTTAAGTTAAATCAAGTAATGGCCCGCGTCCGTCCTGCAGCCTGTGACGAATTGGAGAATTATTTTTACGAAAAGTTATTATGTGGTCACAAAACGTGCTCATAGCCAAATTTATGAAATTCTTTTTACTTTTCTTAGCAATGAACTCGTTTGACGTGAAAAAAGGACGTTTCCATTTTTAATAATTTCTTTGTTACCATGCACTGTTTAGTAATTTTCAGTCTTGTTAAAAACGGTGTCTTGAAACTATAACAGGACTTTTTACATGTGGATTGCAGTGTTTGTAATAAAGTCTGTCATTATTTTATTATGTTTTCTTCAGGAACATTTTCAAGTTTGCCCCAAATTTCCGCAGGCTTGTGAAAAATGTGGACAAGAAAACATACCAAGAGATATGGTAAATCACTTTTCTGTAGCCACGAATGTCTTGCTCTCTTAAGAAAAAAGTAAATAAACAGGCGAGAAAAGGAAGTTTTATGGTTGTTTTTCCATTCTTTGTGATTATTTAGGATTTTTCTTCGTGTAATTCTTGTAAAACTGTGTACATGTAAATATATTGAAAACGTTTTAATGACGGTGATTTTCTATAACTGGTTTCTGTTGGTACCCATTTCCCTACTAATTAGAGAGCGACGTTCAACTTTTACGTTTAGGGGGCGGCGTTTGGTACATCGTCTCTACTTGATTTAGGCACGTAAAGACCGTTAAGTGTACGTCGTAAACACCTGAAAAATTATGCAACAGTAAACAAAAAACCTCTTACAGAGTAATGACGCCAGAGAAATGCTAGCTTCTATTTAAAAAAGTAGATGACAGTTTCTGAATACAAGTCCCATAGAAGAGTGAACTAAGTTGGGAATGGGTCCCGGCAGTAGCCTGATTTTCACATGCACTATCACATCTGCTGTACACAGTGGGTGGAAGAGTACAGTATGATAAGTGATGGTACTGATATTAAACAGTGTTGGTAATGGTGATGTGTCACTTTTATTCAGACACATGAACTGTTTTTTATTGCTTGAAGTGGTCAGTTATTGTTTTTCTATTTTCCAGATGAAGGAACATTTGGAGAAGGAGTGTCCTAACACAGAAATCAAATGCCCTTTTCACATTGTTGGATGCACCTAT